CCCTTTGTTCTTTTTATCTCTTTTTTTCTTTTATCTTTTTCATTCTTTCTTTGCTCTCACTTTCGACATTTTACACCTGTTTTTGATTCCCTAAATTTCGTTCCTCTTTCCTTCCTTCTGTTCTCATTTCCATATTCCCTCTCCCCATCGCTCTCTCTCTCTCTCTCTTCTTCTCTTTCTCGCTCTGATTTTTCCTTCTTCTATTTTCTTTTTTTTACCATTTCTCTTGATTTTAATTTCATTCATTTCCTTTTTTTCTTCACTCAATCTCTCTCCTTCTCTCTTTCTCTCTTTCTCTCTCTTGCCTTTCATTTGTTTATTTATTTTTATTCTTACTAATATTCTTCTTATTCCTCTTTGTTTTTCATTTCTATTTTGATTTCTTTTCCTTCTTCTCTCCCTTCTGTTATTTCTCTTTCTCTCTCTCTTTCACCATCTCTATTGCTCTCTCTCTCTCTCTCGCCCTACATTTCTCTTTCACCCCCCTCTCTACCCAACCGACCATCTGATACAGTTTTGTTTTACGGATATTCTATTCTTAACTACGTAAATAAATGTTGATAAGTTCCCACCGCTTATACCATCGATATAAACAAGATTCAATTTTGCTATCAGTAGTTTAAGGAAACCAGGTATAATGGTGAAATAGTTTTCTTCTTCTATGTGCCGTGTCTCTTTAGGACGTTAGTGGTCACTGATCTCCACAACTTCCTATCTTTTGCATCTTTTTTTCTTTTCCTTATTCCTCTCATTTACTGTTCTGCCATACTTTTTTGTAAAGTTTACACAATCTTGTTAGGTCGGTTGCTCGTTGTTTTTCTCTGTTCTTCTTGAATTTTATATGTCCTACGAGTGTCATATTTTCCGAGCCTACGTTTCTCATTATGTGCCCTAGAAATTTCAACTGTCTCTTTCTTATTCTAAGTATATATTTTTTTTATTTCCTTCTTTCTTTCGTTTAATTTTATTTCTTTCTCTCTATTTTCCTATTGTTATTTCTTTTTCTTTCTTCTTTCTTCCATTTATTCATTCTTTCTTTTTTTTTCTCTCACTTCTTTTTTCCTTGTTCTTTCTTTTTTCTCTTTTCTCTTTTTCTTTCTTACTTTCTCTCTATTTATATCTTTCATTTTTTTCTTTGTTTCTTTCACTTTTTTATCTCTTCATTTCTTTCCTTCTTTTTAACTTTTTTTCGTTCTTTCGCTCTTTTTATCGCTTTTTTTCTTTTATCTTTTTCTTTCTCTCTCTCTCGATATTTTGCAACTGATTTTGATTCTGCTTTCATTTTCTTATTCCTCCTTCTCCATCGCTCCACCCTCTCTCTCTGTCTCGCTTTCTCTCAATATTTTCCATATTTACTACCTTCTTTTTTTCACTCTTTTTCCTTCTATCTTCTTTTTCCAATTTCCCTTAAAACATCCTTGTTACCTGTTTCGGTCATTGTGTTCATTGCATCCTGCTCTAGAACCTCACATCTCTTACCTGGAGCCTCTTCTTCATCTTTAAGGAGATCGTATTTTCTGACAGCTGTTGCTTTTTGCCCAGGTGTTACCTTTTAGATTGATTGGACTGCAATTCTTGTTAGAAAAAGTATAAACTAACATGAAGACGAGAAAGCTGTCAAGGCCACATAGGAGGTTGACATGATACAGCAATTCAACATTTTTTATTTCGAACGAAATTTTCCTGCTTCTTAAAAATTGCTTAGCTTTTTGAAGCCAATAACCTTCGGATTACTGTGTAACAATTTTCGTCCATTATTAAAATACTTTCCAGATATTTAAGTTTTTCTATTTTTGGTGTCTTCAATTTGTCATTCGCATCTTGTTCGAAGCAATAACAACAGAATAAAAAATATCCTTCAAACAAGTGAAAAAAGCAAAACAACTGAAACGGTTTCCCTATTAACCCTTATTCGCCGGTTGACATATATATATAGTCTCCTCCAAAAGTATTGTAACGGCAAAGCCAATTCCTTTGTCTTGTTGTCCCCTTGAATTTCAGCTATTATTTCCTGGTATTAACCTTTCGATATGTGTTAAACGATTTAGGCCATACCACCCTTTGTTTGAACCCATCCATTTTTCAACTATTGGAACACATGACTGACAGGTGTTGCTTTTTGCCCAGGTGTTACCTTTTAGATTGATTGTTTAAACATTAAATATCTCTGAATAACTACTTTTGATATTAGATTTGGGTTTAACCTGTAAGGACTGCAATTCTTGTTAAAAGATGATAAACCAACATGAAGACGAGAGAGCTGTCAAGGACATATAAGAAGTTGACATGAAACAGCAATTCAAAATTCTTTATTTCTTTATTATAAAACTAGATCAACTAATTCAGATTCCTGGTTTAATTTCTGTGCAGCTGAAGCTCATATAAAGCTGAGAGGTGTGTGACAAATCTAAAAATGGACAAAATAGAGGCCTGAACAGTCATAAAGGATCTGCAAAAGAAAAGATATGACACCCAAGGAAATCCATAAGGACAGGGTACAGACACCTGCGGATGGCACCCCTTTCTATGCAACTGTGAAGAAGTCGATTGCTGAATTCAAGCGGGGCAGGGACAGCCCAGAAGATGATCCTCAGATAGGTCGTCCAAAAACTTTAACCACTGATGAACAAGCTGATGTCATTCACTGTAAGGTTTTATATGACAGACATCTTACTGTCCAGCAGATAGCTAAGTCTATCAGCATTAGTTCTGGTTTAGTCCATACTGCTTTAACTGAGATCTTGGGGATGTGCAAGCTGAATGAAAGATGGCTCCCAAGAACGCGGACACAAGATCAGAATTTGAAAAGGGTTGACATTTTCAGTACACTTCTGGAGCGCAGGCCACGAGAATTTCCAGTGCAGATTAATAACTCAAGATGAAAAAAGGGTTCACCACTTCAAAGATTGAAAGCAAACGGTGTAAGTATTTACTCTGTTCCCCCACTAAGATGAGATGTGACACAAGGTCTATTTTTAGGTGAGGGACTCGAGCGCGTACACCCGGGACAGGATCCCTCTGGTGCAATGGGAGGGTGCGGCCTCGAGCAGCTGTTCCCCATGGAGGGGTAGGCACCTCTTCAGTATAATTTTCTCAGTTGCCCGTCTGTCCTTTGATAGAGAAGCTCCTGAGCGCACTCTGTCCAAGGACAGAGACGCAACTGAGAGATGATAAGTAGACTTGAACCTACCCAAAAAGAGTAAGTTTATACTTAGCAAACAGTGTAAACACTCCGGTTTTCTCTTCACCATGAAGAAGTTTCAGCAGGAAGGGTCAGTTGGCAAGGTGATGTCTTTCGTTTTGCTTTTTATTCTGAGGGCGTTTTCATGATAGACTGCCCAGAAAAGGCAGAAAGTATTAATGGACAGTACTATGCATGAGAATTAAGACAACGGAGAGAAGCAATCAAGTCGAAAGACAGAGTGACGGTGAGGGCAGAATAACGCGTCCGTCCATATTATTGATTCTTACTAAGCGTAACTTAGATGTGGTACAAGGCCGAAAGTATGGAACGCTCAGTGAGGATCGAACTCCCTACTCAGTAATTAATCTAGCGAGACAGGTGTGCTTACCATGACACCACGTTATAGTGCTGTCCAAATATAGGTTATAAATAGATTATGTGTTGCCCATCAAACCCTCACTAATGGGTCAAAGCATGCACTCGAGAATGTATTTTTAAAAATATAACGAATTACATAGAAATTCTGAAGTCATATGAAATGCACTTTAGAACCTATTCTAAAATGAATAGTAAATTCTTCAATTCATTAGCTTGTAATTCTATCTATAAAATAGCCTTTCTTTTAATAACAAACACTTAAAAACGTTGCGTCGATTTTCCAGAAGAACTTTAAGCAGGCAGCCTCTGTTGGGAAGATGATGGCTTCTTTTTTTATTTTGGAAGCGTTGTAGTGCCTCCCAAATATAGGTTATAAATAGATTCTGGGTTTTATTCGGGAATGTATTTTTTAAATATAGCGAATTACATGGAAATTCTGAAGTCATATGAAATGCACGTTAGAATCTATTCTAAAATAAATAGTAAATTCTTCAACTCATTAGCTTGTAATTCTATCTGTTAAATAGCCTTATTTTAATAACAAACACTTAAAAAGTTGCATCGATTTTCTAGAAAAACAAACAAACAAAAAAAATGACTCATTAAAAAAGTTGCTTCAGGGACTTTCCAGGATTAGGGGCCCTGAAGCGAAAGCTTTTTATCAGTTTCATAGTTGATCCGCCGCTGAGTACGACACAACAATGCCTAAGGGTAAAAAACGATATCATTGACCTCAGAATAAGAATATTTAGTTTCTATACTCGTGGGTTTAGACTCAATTTACGTGAGGGAAAAGAGTTTTGTATCATGCAGTGTGCAGTAGGAGATTTTGCTTTAGAATAATTCAGACAAGAGCTTATATATATATATATATATATATATATATATATATATATCAATAGATAGAAAGATAGATATCAACAGATTGAAATAGATATCAATAGATTGATATAGATATAAACAGATTGAGATAGATAAACAGACTAAGATAGATAGATAGACAGAAACGAACACTTAGATATGCGCGTAAATATAAACAGATTGAGATAGATAAATAGTTAAAACAGCTTTAAATAGAGAGATATAAACAGATTAATATGATAGATAGATAGATAGATAGATATGTATTGGAATCGAAAAAGATAGAAAGATACATAGATATAAAGAGAGACTGCTAGATAAATAGTTAGATATAAACAGATATATAGATAGATAAATATAAACAGAGCGAATTAGATATACATAAACAGAATACAATAGATAGACAAAGCAGATACAAATCTATCTATCTATCTATCTATCTATCTATCTATCTATCTATCTATCTATCTATCTATCTATGTTTATATATATATATATATATATATATGTATATATATATATATATATATTCGTCTATTCATGTTTCTTTATGTAGCTACCTATATATCAATCTTAGTCATAGATAGATAGATAGATAGATAGATAGATAGATAGATAGATAGATAGATAAAGGGTTCCCACTGGTGGAACGGACGAGGTGGTTCTCCTAAATCTTTAAAAACCCTGTGGTACCTGCACGATTGTTTATAGAAATCCATAGATGGCGCCACAGCATGTAGACTCTTAGCATCACAGACCCTTGGTACTATTACACATGAGCCACATATGATTCTTTGCCATAAGATATATAGATATAAACCGACTGAGCTAGATACATTATGAATAGAGATAGGTAGACAATGAAGATAGATAAATAGATAGATTATTTTAGATTTCTAAAATTTTAGATAATATTTTTATACTGGCACTTGGTGAAAACAGGTGAACAATAACTGAACAGTACTAAAAAAAAACTCTTGGGAGTCATTACTGTCTGAATCATAACACAATAACATGACTTTGTTAAGATAGATAGAAAGAAACAAAGGAAATGAACGCGTCGGAAAGAAAGAAAGAAAGAAAGAAAGAAAGAAAGAAAGAAAGAAAGAAAGAAAGAAAAAGTCTTAGATAGATAGATAGATAGATAGATAGATAGATAGATAGATAGATAATGAGTAGACTGAGATAGATAGATAGATAGATAGATAATGAGTAGACTGAGATAGATAGATGATGAGTAGACTGAGATAGATAGATAGATAGATAGATAATGAGTAGACTGAGATAGATAGATAGATAATGAGTAGACTGAGATAGATAGATAGATGATGAGTAGACTGAGATAGATAGATAGATAGATAGATAGATAGATAGATAATGAGTAGACTGAGATAGATAGATAATGAGTAGACTGAGATAGATAGATAGATAATGAGTAGACTGAGATAGATAGATAATGAGTAGACTGAGATAGATAGATAGATAGATAGATAGATAGATAATGAGTAGACTGAGATAGATAGATAGATAGATAGATAGATAGATAGATAGATAGATAGATAATGAGTAGACTGAGATAGATAGATAGATAGATAGATAGATAATGAGTAGACTGAGATAGATAGATAATGAGTAGACTGAGATAGATAGATAGATAGATAGATAGATAGATAGATAGATTATTTTATATTTCGGAAATTTTAGACAATATTTTCTGTATGGGTGATAATTGCGTATATTTTCGTAATCCAGTCGCTTTACTAATTATCTCTGCTTTACGTAGGTATTTATTCATAATCAGTGCTGACTGAACAAAAGAAGAGGCAGATCAATTATGATTTAGTTACAGCACATATCTGTACTAACTTTAGAAGTCTGAAATAGATAACTTGTTAGATATGAACAGGCTGAGATAGATAGATAGATAGATAGATATGAACAATGAGATAGGTAGATAGATAGATATAAACAGTTAAATAGATAGATATGAAAAGTAAGATAGATATATATGAACATGCTAACAGGCTGACATAGATAGATAGATAGATAGATAGATATGAACAAATTAACAGACAGAGCTAAATAAATAGATAGATAGGTAGAAAGATATATATATATATATATATATATATATATATATATGCACAGTGAGATAAATAGATAGATAGATATTAAGTGAGATAGACAGATGGATAGATATGAACAGATTGATAGATAGATATGGACAGGCTGACAGGCTGATATAATTATATATATATATATATATATAGAGAGAGAGAGAGAGCGAGCGAGACGAACAGGCTTAGATAGATAGATAAACAGGCTGAGGTACGAATGCAATTCATTGAGTTGTACTGTAAAAAAGATACACAAAATATTTTTTGTGAAATTCTTCGCAAAGAATGTTATTCATTTCTTCGGTTTGAAAGAAAAATAATACTAAAATATATAAAAATTATTAGAATTTGTACATCTGTATTTGAAGATTAACTTAATTCTTCGTTTATATACGCATAACCCGCTACAGGTGGAAGGGGAGATAAACGGATATGAACTGGCTAGGATAGATAGATAGATAGATAGATAGATAGATAGATAGATGTGAACAGGTTGAGATAGATGGATAGAAAGATAAACAGATATGAAGTGGCGGAGATAGATAGAGCGATAGATAAATATGAACAGACTGCGATACATGGATAGGAAGATAGATATGAACTGGCAGAGATAGACAGATTTGAACAGGCTGAGATAGATAGATGGATAGAGAGATAGAGAGATATGAACTGGCCGAGATAGATAAATTTAATTAAAGTCTATATTCCTGTCCTTCATTGTGATTTACCGTTACTGAAAGTTATTCTTCATATTTTGTTTATGTCATCTGATCACTTCTTGCTGTTTTTTTTTGTTGCTTGTCTTTTCTGTGCCATGTGCACCATTTTTTTCAACTTTCGTCTATTCTAATCTTTTAGCTGTTCAGCCTATGACTTGGTTTCTTTCTTTTCTTTCTTTTTTTTTTTTTTGTATGTCTGCTCATTCAATTTCTCCGAAGGAAAATACACGATCAGGGCATGACGCCAGTTCAAGGCGAATCTTCTGATCGCTTGAAAAAGAGGCCGAATAATGTAATGGCAGCTTAATAAATTATTACTTTGTGTCTCGGTCGATAAGTTTTTGTCTCGTCATTATATATATATATATATATAGGGTGTCCATAAAGTTCGTGTGCACTTTAAAAGATTTATAACTTTCTTTGTATTTGCGATAGAAATAATCTGTAAAAAAATGTTATAAAGTTTAATGTACCTAGTTTTAAGTATAGCTAAAATAACTAATGTGATTTTAGGCATTACTGTAAATCAGTTGACAAATGTTTTCCGTGAACTGCAAAATCGTATTACCCTTTGTAGTGCTAATGATGGAGGACATGTGGAAACTTAAATAAAATTTCAATAAAACCTTGAAAAATATAGATTTACTTCTTTCTAATCCTTTTTACAAATTATTTCTATCGCTAATACAAAATAAAGTCATAAATTTTTAAAGTGCACACAAACTTTATGTACACTCAGTATATATATATATATATATATAGATATATATATATATATATATTGGGTTGTCACATATGAAATGACGAATTTTTGGTTGGTTGTTGATTCAGTGGTCCATAAAAATAACCTCATTGGTATATAAAAAATCTTATTCCTGACTCTTTATTTCCAGATACTTTTTCGTTCGATATATTGTTATTCATAAGCCCAATGAAAATTATTGCGATGAAACAATGTCGAGTAATCTTACTGTATGAGTACAAACTGGGAAAATAACCATTTTTGCATGGAATCATTACATACGATGAGAAATGGATACTCTTTGACCACAGTAAGAGAGTAGGCCAGTAGTTAGATGAAAGTAGATCACCAAAGCAATACCCAAAATCTCAACTACATCTTAAAATGATAATGGTTACTGTATGGTGGTCTTTGAAAAAGGCTATTCATTCTTGCCTCAAGGGAAAACTGTAACAGTAACCTCGTATTGTGGAAAAGCGATTGTATGCACGTAAAACTGAAAAAGAAACATCCTAGACTTGTGAATAGAGATGACCCTATTTTGCTACACGACAACACACGGCAGCACACTTCTCAAAAAGCTTTCCAAAAGCTGTATAGCCTGAATTATGAAATTTTGCCCCAGACTCCATTTTCCTCTGATATCTCTCGTACTGATTATAAGTATTTTAAGCATCTCATACGCAATAAAACATTCCCTAACAAGGATGAGGTAATCGAAGCATTTGAACTGTTTATCAAATCAAATGAAGAGATTTTTTTAAAAATATGAGATCAAGAACGCTGGATCAACATGGCGCCTATTTCAACTAAATAAATTATAATTTTTTAAACATTTTTGAAGCGTTTTATTCATTTTCAATAAAATGCGTCATTTCATGTGTGACAACCTAATATATATATATATATAGAGTTTGTCTGACGATCTCTAAAGCGTGAAACCCAGGGTCACAAACTCACATCTATCCAACCAAATATATATATATATATATATATATATATATATATATATATATATATATGTGTGTGTGTGTGTGTGTGATTTTTGTTCATAGATTATATTTCGCTTTACTTTTTTTCTTAGTTCTGTTTCGTAAGACATTTTATAATTAAACATCTATCATTAAGTTTTACTTATTTTTTTAATGTTATTGTTTACAAACCATTCTTTCTTCTACTTAAAGATTTCAATTAATCTTTGTTTCTGTCCGATGCTTGTATTTTTCTATGATTTTTATTTAAATTTCGTCTCCTCTTCTTCTCCAATTTGATTGAGTTCGCTTCCATATTCTCACCGGTCTGCTCACTGATTCTTTTTTTTTTCTTTCGATTTGTTTATCCAGCGCCGGTTTACCATAGGCTGTTGCCAGTGTTGGTCTGGTTCATCGTTCCATGTCATTCCCATGACTTCACGGAACGTCCTTGCAAATTGACAATGCACACGACCATCAACTTGCCCGTCACATCAGCTAACACAGCCGCGTGACTGGTAGCAAAACAAAGACGGCCATGTTGTTTTTCTATGTGAACTTTAATCAATGTCAATGCTGACGCGTACAAATATCTGACACAAGTAGGAACATCGAAACTAATAAAAGGAAAACGAAGAGAGAAACAGGCGAAACAATTTTAAGTAATTAATCTGATGATTGCTATTGTGATTTTTCAGACAAGTGACAAGATTTTCTATAAGGACTCACACGATGTCAGAATATGCAAGTCAATGTTTTCACAATAAAACTGTCATTAAGGAACTGATTTTCAAAATATATTTACGTTAAATAATTATCTTTCTAATGGTTATAAAGTGGGGGATCGATTTTATTTTGTTATTAAGTAATAAACTGATCCTCGCTAGAATTACTACATTATATCAGATATTACTACACATATCAACGTTTTCAAGATAAAACTGGTATTAACCAATTGATGTTTGGAAAATTTTCAAAATATATTTACATTAAATATTAATCTTTCTAATGGTTATAAAGTAAGGGATCGATTTTCTATTGTTATTAAGTAAGAGACTGATCCCTCTTAGTAATACTAGACTATATCAGATATTATTATGAAAGTTAATGTTTTCAAGATAAAACTAGTATTAACCATTCGATGTTGGGAAGATTTTCAAAATATATTTACGTTAAAAATTGTTTCTACATGGCATAAAGTGGGGGATCGATTTTATATTGTTATTAAGTAATAGACTGATCCCTCCTAGAAATACTATATTATATAGGATATTATTATACAATTCAATGTTTTAATTGGTATCAACCAAACGATGATGGGAAAATTTTCAAAATATATTTACATTAAATATTAAGATAACTTTCTACTTGTCATAAAATAGGGGATCAATTTTATGTTGTTATTAAGTAATGAACTGATCCCTCCATGAGTTACTATAATATATCAGGTATCTTTATAGGCTTATGGCCATATAACATTGAAACTCCGATTCTCGTACTATCGCTGAAGTTAAGCAACGTCGAACCTCGTCAGTACATGAATGGGTGACCGCTTGGGAATAAAAGGTGTTGTAAGCTTTCATGTAATGGATAACGGCTCGGAATTAGAAATCAAAGAACGGAGTTCTAATTCCAATCGGGTTCGTTATATTCATTTAGGAGCAAATATCCTTAAGAAAGGTATGAATGCAATTCTTGTCAGCTCCCAACCATGGGTTAATCAGTAGGTCTTGTGTCAGTAAATCATTATTATCCCACCAAAATTCTGACGATCGAAAAGAATTTTCTGGCTGTAAATAACCTGCAGACGGCTAATAATCTATAAAAAAGAAATGAATCTTCATATTATTAGGCAAGTCAATATTTTCAAAATTGGGATGAATCAATCGATTATGCGAAAACATTCGAGTTTTTTTTAAATATTAATATAAGGTTCTACTTGTCATAAAGTGGGGGATTGATTTTCTGGAAGCTGGAGCTGGTTGATCCTCTCTTTCCAGGCTTGCTAGAGCTCAAAATAATTTACGCGGCCTTATGGGTGATGACTTATTGTTCCCCTCTACAGCCTCTACTCCACAGATGCAATGATGCACGCCTATCGCTATTCTATTTTTCAGATGAATTGCATTTCACCAGTTCAGACCTTTACTAGTAGGACAGACAAGGCAACTTACACGAATTTGAATGACCCTCATTTTCCCTGCTTTTTCTCCTAGAACGACATTTTTTGGGGAACAAACTCCCAAGAGGGTGTTTTCCCGGCCATGAATATTTTAACCTATTCTTACGGTTTACGACCATACAACGTTGAACACCGGTTTGCATACGACCAGCGTCGTTAAGCAACACCGCGCTTGTTCAGTATCTTGATGGGTAACCGCTTGCGAATACCAGGTGTTGTAAGATTGGATGTGCGTGTGATGTAATGGATAACGGCTCGGAATTGTAAATCGGAGAGCCGAGTTCCAATTTCAGTTGGGTTCGTTATATTCAATTACGAAAGGTATGAATTCAAATCTTCTCCCCCAGTTATGGGTTTATCAGTAATACTTGTATTAATAAATCATTATTATCTCTCTAAAAATTTCTTACAATCTAAAATATTTTCTGGCTTTAAATGGGTTCAATTGGTTCATAAACGATAAGAAAGTAATCAATCAATTCTCATTTTTAGTCCATGTAACAAAGTCAAAGGTCAATCGTTGACTACCCTCCTTATCATCATAATGTTCACTTCCAACTCCCTCCACTTTTATTAATATCACACACTTCAAATGAACTTGTAGAGCACAGAATTCAACTCATCTGGACATTTACCATGAAAATAACGATAGAGTAACAATAGACTTGCAACGTTGCATATGTGAGAAATTGATTGCAATGTGGAAAGGACCCCACCTCACAGGATTTCCGTAAAGGGTTTTGAACTCTATCAAAGTGAGGATTGAGCATCTCCAGTCCAGATTTGACAGCAACCTTCCATTTCTGGTCTAATCTGATTCTTTTAAAGATAATTCATAGCAGATGGAGTCAATTACTTCCTGGAGCTATAGAACGAACCGATCATTTCATTTATATATGGCGTCACAACGAAGAGGAGAGTAAAAAAAGAGAGGAAGACAAGATGCGGGAACACAGTGAAGCGCAGGCATAAATTGTAGCATTTGCGTTAAAGATATTTTGACTGCAGCATGATTTTCTTCTCAGTTTATCAAAACGTCATCCAACAGCGTCATTAAAAACAAAAACAAAACAAAAAAAACGCATTTTACATGCTTGGTATAAAAAGTTTGAAATGATGATGAGCCGGTGATTGGTGCATTTATCATTCAATGTAAATAACTGTGCTTCGTTTTTTTCGTTGCGTCGCACTGCGGGAAGCAGGAAGAGAGATGACGAGGCGCCATGTAAATTCAAGATAAGAGTTATATATGAGGAACAAATCTTGTCACCGATTTGAGATATGGAGCTGCGGTAAAGAAAATAACAAAGTAGACTTGACGCCTAAAAAAAGAGGCAGCAAAAATACTAAAAGGTTAAGGAGCAATGTAGCAGAAATCATTTGAAAATGAAATAAAAAATAAAATGGATTATTTCTGAATGCTCGTATACTGACATTGTGTAGCGATGAGTAATCTTTCTTTTTTTTTATTTCAATCTCTTAGAATGGTCAGAATGTGCGGGTTCCGGCCATAAAACCAGAATTCGAATCTCACGTTGGTCGATTTGTCAAAATGGTTGGGCACCTCGATGTAGTGCAATGATTAGCAAACTTGTCTCGCTAGAACAATTATGACTGGGTAGTGAGTTCGATCCTCACTGGGTGCAACATATTTTCGGTCTAGTTCCACATCTGAGCTACGCTTTGAAAATCAATGGGGACTATTTAGGAATTTCATTTAGATAATGAGGTATTTTGGTGGTTGTAGTAATGAATGTGTTGTTTTGGTGGTAGGAATATTTTGTATGATTGAGTCAGTGGTTGTGTCTAGCTAAGATTTAAAAGTAAGACAGATGATGACCGTTCTTTTTCCCCACCCATCTTTTTTAGGCCTTGTGCCACATTTTCTGTATTTTTTACAGAAATAAATATTGGATTTGTGAAACTGGTTACTTTTAAATTTTACTATTTTTTCACCCAATCCAAAGCCCAAGAACCTCTCAAGCTAGAGGGTTCTTTAATGTGGTTGACGCCTCAAAAGCAAATCACCACAGAGATCCTTCCCTGCCCCTCCCCATTAGAATGTCTGACGGTCAACTTCTCGAGAGCACCTCTCTGCGGCTGCTCGGTCTCACGTTGTCTGCTGACCTAAGATGGAACAAATACATTGAGTCAATTGCTTCGTCCACCGCAAGCAAAGTTGGCTCCCTGTGCCGCGGCAGGAAATTTTTCTCCCCGGAATCGATCCTTCAAATCTACAAATCATCCATTCGCCCTTGCATGGAGTATTGCTGCCATATATGGTCTGGAGCCCCTTCTGTTTGCCTCAGGGTTCTTGATAAGATCCAGAGACGGATATGCAGTGCAATTGGACCTGATCTGGCATCTCGTCTGCAGTCGCTCTCTCACAGACGTGCCGTCGCCTTTCTCTGTCTTTTTTACAAATACTTTCATGGTAATTGCTCCGATGAGCTGCTTTCGCTGGTTCCCAGGCTTCATGAATTCAAGCGCCCTACGAGGCTGGCATCCCGCTCTCACCCTTTCACTGTTGAAACTGTTAAATGTAGCCGTCTCTTCTACTCCAATAGCTTCATAACTCGCACCTCTTGCCTATGGAATTCCCTTCCCTTTTTCCCGGTTTCCCTGATAGCTATAATCTACAACTATTCAAATGTAATGTCAATCGACATCTCCAGTTGCCTTGATCTATCTACTATCCTTCTCATCCTTTTCTTTATCACTCATATCAGCTCTCGCTACAAATCCTATGTAACCCCTTGCGTGCTAGTGGATTCCAGCCTTGCTTGGGGGTGAAATGCTTAAATATATATATATATATATATATATATATATATATATATATATATATATATATATAAAAAAGTAACAGGAGTACAAATTATTAAGAAGTGCAAATTATGAAAATATGTAGGAAAGAAAATGATTGCTCCTGGATGCACGGTGAAGTATGGATGCACGGTGAAGTATGGATGCACGGTGAAGTATGGATGCACGGTGGAGTATGGATGCCCGGTGAAGTATGGATGCACGGTGGAGTAAAAGATAGCGGCTCGAATTGAGAAACTGTAAAGTCGAATTCGAATTTCAGTTGAGTTCGTGACATTTATTTGGGGAATGTATGAATACATCTCTTCTCCCCTCTGCTAGGAGTAGGTAGCAGGACAGACTGGATTCTATAGCCTAGGGTAACCGATCCAAGAGAAGGTCCACTCTGAATTCAAAATCTCCAAATATAGGTTGAATTGCCTCACCTACTGGCAATTGTCCAAGTATAGTGAGTACAGTTACACTCCTGAAGACATGGAAATTCAACGAGGGATTCCGAAACAAGTGTGAGAAAGCCTTGGATGTGTATTTAAAAATGTTAAGATTGTAGAGGTCGGTGAATTATCCCCTTAGCAGTCTATTCCATAAAGTTGTTATATACCGTACCTATGAACACTAACAATTTAAAAGAATATATATATATATATATATATATATATATATATATATACAGTGTAACCCGGATATAAGAGACCCGGATATAAGAGAAACCCGGATATAAGAGAGATTTTCGCTGGTCCCAAATTAGAGCCTGTGTTAATGTATATAATGTATATAAAATAGACCAAACCCGGATATAAGAGAAACCCGGATATAAGAGACAACTCTCTTATATCCGGGTTACACTGTATATGATTTAGACAAATGCTTACTGATCGTTCAAGGTAGTTATCACAGATTCGTAGAACGCTAAGCGTTTTTTAAAAGAACTTGTACCTAATGGATATATCCTAATCCCCATAAATATGTTGGACACTATTGCAAGTGGGGGTACTATGCTGTCTAAGTAGTCCACCACTAGAAGTGGTTTACCTATTTCACGCCGCTGGCGAGTATTGTATTTTGATGATGTTATAAAGATTACCATTTCATTTCAAACCACCGTTTTGTTTATTCCTCATTCAGTAACTTTTCTAGGTTACAACAAAAGTATTGTTTCTCGGGAAGAAGGTGTTCGAATGGAACTTCTTCCCTACTAATGGAATACAAAGCGAATGGAGATGATTCGTTGCAGTGCACATGGCATAGCGGGTCTTACGTGTGAATGCCTGAACTGGTAGAACTAATGAATGTAACGCGTCATAACATTTTCCATTGGAATAGCAACAGAATAGTGAAAGGCTTATAGCGTTTATACTGCCAGGAGGATGTTGTAAATAATTCATCACTCACAAGGCCGCGTCGAGTCATAGATTTTTTCCCATGAAATCAGAGTAAAGGTCTGAAAAACAAAAAATATATTTGATATACGTTAATTTTCATACAAGAACGGCTAACATAGAAGAATACTTTATTCTTATTTAAAATCCATTTTATTATTCAAATTATTTTACAAAGCGCTTAGCGTTCTACGAAACTGTAATAACTACATTGAAAGATCAGTATGCATTTGTCTAAACATACATACATTATATATATATATATATATATATATATATATATATATATATATATATATATATATACTTTTAACTTGTTAATAACAAATTACATATTATTGTGACTATGATTAGGAACACCGACATAGATAATTTCGGTCTAAAGTGTTTCGCATTTCATGGCCAGAGATAAAGTCTGTGAGGTGGGGTTTTCAAGGCAGTCACTCAGTATCTGTCTATATTTCTGAGATAAGGTATTATGTACACAATTTAGATTATTCGTACTATGATGTACACTATTTAGATTATTCGTACTATTGTCCTCATCATTGTTGCCATATTTATCACAACGATTCGGCCGTTGTATGCGACGGCCTTCTTCAGGTGGTTGGAATGTCAAACTGAACCCTTTATTCGGCTCGCTGCGGTAGACTATTCTAGTTCCACGTAACATTAGTCATGGCACGTAGAACTAGAACGTTAAGTAGACTGTTAAGGCAGTGGAGAACTTGGAGAGGTGAATTAACAGGAGATAACGGTCGTACTTGGGCTTGCGGGGAGATCTGGATCCCTTTTAGCGGAGTACAACCTGCTCCTCGAGGTAGTCCTAGACCGTCCGCTAGCGATTCTGAACAGGCCGTCCTTCAATGTAGTTCTGATACCGCCCGTCAAATTTGCTAGTCACCCGTCGTAATCGTAAGAGATTCAGGGTCCTCGCTAGGAAAATCTGATCTGTTAGACCGAGATGTCAGGAGTGACGGAAGTTGTCTCCAATTGTCATCTACCTATCTACATGGTGGTTGCTAACTCGTGTCCGAGTACGGCCATTAGTACATATCTTTTTGGAGAACATCTACTGATGTGCTGAACGAATGTGGCTCTTTAGCCTATCAAGGGACCTACACACTCTGGCACAAACAGGGCACTTAAGAGGTCCAAAGGCGGGTGGTACATTATCATGCAATTTAAAATGTCGCAAGAAACCGCTTCTGGACCCGCATATATTACCACAAATATCACATTTCAATTGCTGGGCTTCTACAGTTTTATAGTCAATCGCCACCTTCCGTCAGTGTGTTCTCAAGTGACAAATTAGATCAGTCATCGACAAACTCACTCTACCACAATCTGCACACGTCAGATCGAGCTGCCTACGGGTCTCTTCAGGAAGTTCAACGGGGACGCCTTTATGGACATTTCTTTTAAGCTTTGTGTACCTCTTTTTCTCATTTTCAAAGTGACGCCTTCCACTACTAACAGCCTCATTCCAATTATTGCGATTAGATGCACAATATTCCCCGTGGTCACAAGGAATGTTGTATTTCTTCAGTGCATCCTTGATGCAATCCTTAAAGCGCATCTTTTGTTTGTGAGTTGGACAGGGCATTGTGGACATGAACTTAGGTTGAAAAGGGCGATCAATAACAGAACCGTAGTAAATAAGAAATAGATAATTCAGAAAATGTTTTCTAAAAATTCCGAAGTATATCTATCTATCTATCTATCTATCTATCTATCTATCTATCTTGGCAAGGTTATATTATTGTTATGATTCAGG